GTTGGTTATATTAGTGGTTTGAGTATGGACTGTTCCACACTTTGAATTTCCACCAGAAATAGTAGAGCAGGGGTGTCCAAACTCCGTTCTGGAGGGCCAGTGCCCTGGAGAGTTTAGCTCCAACCCTAATCAAACACACCTGAGTCAGCTAATCAAGCTCTTACGAGATGTACAAGAAACGTCCTTGCAGATGTGTTGAAGCATGTTGGAGCTAAACTCAGCAGGACACCGTCTCTTCTGGACCAAGTTTGGACACCGCTGAAGTAGAGCATCCAGGATCCTTAGGCATATTCTTTTCAACATACTACAGTTTGGGACTCAACTGAGTAATCTGCACTACTGTATCAAAAACTGTACCAACATTTTTTGGTTTAGACAAATCCAATAACACATTAGGAAAACGCATTTACAAGTTGATGAATTTAGTTTAGTACCTGTTTGTTTCAGACGTCTTTTCAAAGGCAGGACTGGAGACTGATCTTAGTGACGAAGCAGCTAAAAAGAAGAAGTCAACAATTGTTATCAAATCTTTAAAAGCTAAACATACTTTTACCCTCAGCATAAACACTAAGCTTATGACGGTTTCAGATTTTCTTGTTGCAGTTAAATTGCTGAAGCTTTAATCACAATATGATATTATTGTAAGCTGAATACTTTGAACATGTATACAACAATGCAATATGCAGAGTAAACAAATACTTCAACTGGGGCTGCATGATGATGGAAAAATCTGACATTGCAATATTTAATTTCTGTAGTAAAAATTGCGATATTAATAGTTTCATCAAATGGCTTAAACAGCTCTATTTTAATTTTTCTGGAAAGTCCAACAGTAATCGTGTACAGAAATTAAGCAATCACAATGCAAATAACTAAAAATATAGATTTATTTTCACTTGCAGAAATATGTCAAATTTGAGTTTTTCCATAAAACAAGAAAAATAATCTGCCAATTGGGTAAGAATAATTGTGTTTTAGGTTTGAAATGTAGATATTTGGACAAGAAACAGGTCACTGGGGTGTCTACCTTTTCAAATGGTACACTTTTGTACCCATCAAGTCCACAATCTGACCTTAAAGGTACAAAAATTCTGAACCTCCATGATAGAATACTTGGATTCAAAAAGTGTGGGAACTGTATCAAATGGAACAAGTAACATATGCATTACAACTTCAAAAAACTATTTCCCTAAAGAGATGGTCTCCTGGCATGCCTGTAATTCTTCAATAATGAGCCATACTGAACACTGTGAAGTATCTGAGAACAAGGCCACTTTTTCCTTCTTTTCTTCACTTTATCTTTTTTATTTATTTATTTATTTATTTATTATTATTTATTTCAGAATTAATATTATTATTATTGTTTTATTAATTTTTTCTCTCTTTTTTATATGTCCTAAGGATGCTTTTTGTTCTGTACATGCATTTACATCCATTTTGATAGCTATAAATTAATGGTCAAACATGCAAAAATAAAAAAACCTGTTACACTATATTGTACTTCATGCAATGTTGTATTCTCTAATAAAAGTAAGTTAAAAAAAAAAAAGTTAAAAAAAAGGTACAGCCCTAGAGACATGTTTTGTTCCTTTATTTTGAGCATGGGTCTCAAACTTCCTGGAGGGCCAGATATCTGCACAGTTTTGCCCCAACCCTAATCAAACACAGCTGATCCAAATAATCGAAGTGTTCAGAGTCTTGATTAGTTGCATAAGCTGATTAGGGTTGGTGCAAAACTGTGCAGAGCTGTGGTCCTCCAGGAAGTTTGAGACCCATGATTTTGAGTGTCTTCATTATATAATTATAGACAATTAAATACAGGCATCTTTGTTACGTCTCCAAAAGTCAGGCCTTAAAAACACATGCAAATGATAAACATGCACTCTAATATGGCTTAACTTTGTAACTCTATAAATCCTGTGTTGTGTAGCTCCAGCTCAACTGTAATCCAGGCTGAACACTGTGATCTGACTATTGCAGATGTAAACATTGCGATATT